GAAACAGATTTACTGTGGATTAGAGAAGAGCCACCGTTACACTAAGTGAGTTAGGCTAAGTTAAACACACTAGTACTTAGAATAGGATATAAGGTTATGTAACCTATAAAGTAATTAATAGATTATTTATTAATTACTATAATTAGAAAGATTAATAGATAAATAGATAATCTAACTATCTAGAGTTATAATAGAAAGATAGATAAGTACTTAAGGAGGAGGTATTCCTATAGCTAGGTAGTCTAAATCTCTACTAATTAATCTAAGTAATAGCTTTACTATTAGGAGATATCTCCTAATATAACTTACACTATAATAATTACTTATATACACTTTATATATTTAAACTAACTCTCTACCTAAGAAGTAGACTAACTATAGATTAGGATTAAGCTACTATTATAAGTAGAGGATAGAATAGATATATAAGGAAGGGGATTTCTAGTAGATAGCTAGACTAGATCTCTACTAATTAATCTAAATAATAGCTCTACTATTAAGAGATATCTTCTAATATAACTTATACTATAATAACTACTTATATATACTCTATATATTTAAACTAACTTTTTACTTAAGAAGTAAACTAACTATAGACTAGGATTAAGCTACTATTATATTTATTTATATAATAGTTACTATAGTTATTAATAATAAAAAGTCTTTATTTAAAGGCTTTTATTAATTTTATCTTAAGGATAAAAATTATTTTAAGTTTATTAATAATAATAGTATTATTTATTTAACCCTTTAAAGAAGCCTAGAAATACTAGTCTTAAGACTCTTAATTTATTAAAAAACTATTATTATTAAATATTCTTTCTATTAAAAAGAATTAATAAATTTAGTTTCTTTTTTATAATTAAAATACACTTAAAGATTAGACTTTAAAAGTACTAGTTAGATTATCTCTTTAAAGTAATTCTTTTTTATAATAACCTAAGTATTAAACTATTCTTTTAAAGCCTTATTATAAACTCTATTTTATTTATATTATATTAATTACTTAAGGGTATATTAATAATCTATTTAATACTAAGAAGTTTAAAGAAAGTCTAAATTATATAAGTTAAAGCCTTATTTAGATATTAGAAATTAAAATACTTACCTTTAAGTATTTTAACCTCTAGATTATACTTTAAAAAGCTTTATAACTAGTTAATTCTAATATTATAATTATTATTATTAACTTAGTAGAGACTTAAAGTAATCTTCTAGACTTATTAGTAAGTAAGGGGGTTACTAAGATAATCTTAAATTAGGATCTAAGAAATAAAATATAATTCTTAAGTAGTTAGAAGCTATTATAATAACTTAAAAGCCTCTTTTTATAATATTATACTTTTAATATAATACTATAGTATTCTTTAAAGTATAGACTAGTAATTTACTATTTTTTATATACTTATATTATTAATTATATTTTAAATAATATTTTAAAGGTCTTATTTAGTATATTAACTTATAATAATATAATAGTAAAAAAAATAAATTATTAGATTTTTTAGGCACTAAAAAACGTGATTCTAATAATATAGGTTTATTATTAAAAAGGAAGAGGTTAGGTGGCTTAAAAGTGGGTGTGGCTCATAAGTGGGTGGCCGACGTTAGTTATTATCCTTAGTGGAATTAGTCTTATTCGGCGGGTCGCCATGCCGTCAAGACACCGTCGAGGCATTCAGAAAGCTTCTATCCGACAAGGCACGTCTAAGGACTGCGTATAGGTCGACAGAGGTACCTAGTATTTCTTTAATATATATCGGCAGTGACTGGGTCACTAGCAGGGTCGGCCTTCCCGCTACTAGGAGGAGCATTAGGTATGTCATTACTATCCAACGGAAATTACTAGGGGGTTTTAGAGGACAGCATACTAACATAATAACCACTAGAAGGATCGTGGACCCTAGAACCCTAAAATAGGCCAAGCCTAATAAGACAGGTAAGATGCGTCTAGAGCTAAACTTACTTCCGCGGCTACTTCAACAGTCCAACAGCGACAGACAGCGCATTCCTAGCGGGTTCTACGCCTCGCTCTTCCGCACGGGCGACCGTGGTTCCGCAGACGCCAAGACAGGCGCCATCGCGATCCACAGCCGCTTTAAGGAGATCTTCAAGGTGCGCTACAAGGAGGTCTCCTTAGCCGAGGTCGAAGGCGAGCTTTTAGGCCATGGCGACATCGCCGACGCGTTGGTGACGGCCACCAAGGCCCGCGACGACGCCAGGATCAGGGAGTACATGGCATAAGTGGCGCGCCCCAGCAGCACCGCGCTAACGGCGCAGCAGGTCGTTGACTTCATCGCCGCAAGGCTCGCGGGGCACAAGGCGCCAACCAGCGGCGTTATCTTCTGCGACGCGATACCTCACGGCGCTATGGGCAAGGGACTAAAGAATGCGCTAGCAAAGGTTGTTCCTCTGCCTGGATCGGCCAAGTTTCTTAACGTCCGCGATTAGCGAAGGTGCTACAACGGGAAACAAAGCTGCCTGTCGTCACTTAGTGCTTTAGGTAGCGCATAAGAGACGATCATTATCATTCAGTATATATATCTGAAATTAGGAACGGCTGCCCTAGAGCTTTTAGTCGGCTAATATACTGTAAATAATTCAGCTTATATTTGTCTACTCGCCGTGGAATCTTCTATCGTACACTCGGCCATTCCTAGCTTTGCGCGTAGAAAGGTTGATTCCACTCAACTCTATAAGAAACGCAGCAAATATGCATCAGCTTCGCTTAAATTCGCTTATATTTTGCAAAATTTCAATAGATACTAAGATCATCATCGGCTACGAACCTCCAATTGACTACGGCTCTTCATGGGTACGTACCAACTTCGACAATAAGGCACTTCGGCTGGCTTTTCGATTTCGTCGACACCTAGATATGAATATAGGTATACGTTAGCAATGCTAACGATTTGTAGGACCTTTCAGAAGTTGCTAGTGTCTTCATAGGCTCTGAACCTCCGAGTGACCACAGGGTTTTTTTCATCATAGGTACCTACCTGCAGTAGTATTACGCAGCCGTCTTCCGGTTGACACACCAGGTGGACGAACAACAACATGCTTTGAAAAGCAAAGCGGCGTGGGCGACGGTAGAGAGGCGGCAATGTATGGCTCAAAGTGCGTCGATGAAGCAAGTGGGCGAGCGAGTTGCACGAGGGGCGCCGCATGGTTGAGGGGGGTGCATGGCCAAAGGGATTGGATGGAAGAGTAAGAACCAAATGGCAGTTGATGGATGAGATAACGGGGGTAATATGCAATGAGAGAATCGGATGGCAAAATGCAGTAGACCACAAGGGAGTGCTTGTGCAAGAGCATCAACAAGTGTGGCGGTGGTAAACAGAAGGGAGGATGCTGGTGATAGTGGAAGAGAGGATGTTAGTTATGTTGGATGAGAGGTTCGAGAAGGAGGTGCAGCAGCCCGACGACAGTATTTGTGCAAGAGTATCAACAACAACCCCGATAACAGTGTATGGATGAGAGGATCGACGGAGTGCGGGCGACAGTGTATGGACGGACGGCAGAGTATCGACGATGACGCTGAAACGAGTGGCAGGACGAGGACGGCAGTCGACAAATGGTGGGAGGGAATGGAAACGAGCAGCCGGTGTAAAAAAGAGTAGAGAGAAGACTAAAAAAGTAGATGAAGAGGAGAAGTTGAAAAGTTGATGCGGGCAGCGAAGGCTGACCTATATACCACGATAGCAGTGCTCCTGCCTCGCATAGTGTAGTTTCCTCTCCCAGCCGTAATATCGCTAGTTAGTCCCGAATTCAGTTCATCGCAGGAACGGGGAAAGGCCAAATTTGCTGGAAAGAATACTACGTTTAGGAATAGGCGATGAACAGTCGCTTATTTGGAGAATAGTTGCCTATGCATTCAGTAGACTATGTAGTTCCCGCAACCGAAACCCCTTATAATGGGACACAATAGGACCCGACCCGGAGGCGAGAGACAAAGTGGCTCTCATCCGTAAGACTAATCTAAACTACTTTCAATGAATAGAGAGGCCACTAAGCGTAGGATGAAGGCTATTAGGATGCATTAAGATGCTGCTAGGAAAGATGTCGGGCAGCTTGTTGATGTTGGAGAGCATCTACGGGTGGGCCTGAAGGCCGCACGTCGCCTTACATCGCGAAATGGATACAGCACAACTTGGGCTTTTATGGGCGGGGTCGCATTAACTGTGAATTAGGCTGTTTAAAAAAAAAAAAAACTGCGGCTTAGCTGCCGATATACAATAAGGAAGGCAGCAGAAGGCGGCAATTGAATCATCATCAGCGGTAGAAACACTTATGCTAGCCTCTCGTGGCAACACAACTTCATGTATTGGCTGAATGCACAATAGATACTGTAGCTTTTTCGTGTAGTGCTCTGGGCGGTGTAGGTAACTGTGCAAGTGCTCATCGAATACCTGCTGGTTTTATTTCGGGCATATTATTTTTCTAGCTCGCCCACTAAATTGACAAAGCTCCGTCCTTGCTGGCAGTGCAAGGTTATGCAATACTAACTCACCGTAATGGCCAACTGTAGTTTCCACTGGCAATTTGACTTATTCTCCTCACATTGCAAGCTTGAATGTGGTTGTTGTATATACTAGGAGCAAACGGAGGAAGCGAATTCGAATAGCACAAATTTATCCATATTCATCCATGTTACATTACCTTGTGCATCAGACAACTGCTAGCTAGTGAGTCACTCTTATCCTAGCAGTCAATTCGTCATGACTTTGCCGCCACAATCCCAACATCTGTGGCACAGCCCCAGCCGCAGAGGCTGCCCACGCTAAGAGTACCGAGTATAAAAGCCTGCGCGTTCCCCCGGCCAATCGCAGGATTCTCGACCCTTTAACGACTAACTGGGGATATTCGGCCTCGCCCTCATATTTACAGTGACCACAGGGAATTTTCGCCCATGATGTACAACTAGTGTACTGAGGCCCCATCCAATACTCAAGTCATAACTTGTTGTGTATTTAGTACGGACAACCACCGTGGAGCTTTTGATTTTTCGATGGCTGTTTGTGTTTGGTTGATCGCAGGACATTCGAAGTGACCACGGGGGCTCGTGCCAGTGATGATACCTGACCGAACCGGCGCAAGGCGTCGCGGTAATTGCTCTGAGGCACTGCTTGGTGAAATCTGGATATTTGCACTGCTTCGTTCGCGAGCCTCATGAGGTTGGCTGCAGAAATCCAGTTGCTATACGCGAGATCTAGAGCACTAAGAATAAAAAGCTCGAAAGGTGAAAGTACAACCGTCCAAAGATGGGCCGACGGGTATAGCAGCCTATATATAGGACGCCTAATTAGGATAGGAAGTTATATAACTATAGTTAGCTTATAAGAGCACTATAAGCTAGTAAGCTAAGAAGGAATTATAACCTTGCTATAAACTAATAATCCTAAAATATAGTAGAGAGTAGGATAGATATATAAGGAAGGGGATTTCTAGTAGATAGTTAGACTAGATCTCTACTAATTAATCTAAGCAATAGTTCTACTATTAGGAGAATATCTCCTAATATAACTTATACTATAATAACTACTTATTAGTACTCTATATATTTAAACTAACTCTCTTCCTAAGAAATAGACTAACTATAGACTAGGGATAAATGTAACGGTGGCTCTTCTCTAATCCACAGTAAATCTGTTTCTT